CTCAGATAGCTTTTCATATGTTCTCTATTGTTAGCATCTGGCCTTTCTCTAAGTTCAAAGGGCAGGAAATAAGGCTTATCTGGGAAGGATGATAAATGAAAAGAAATCTAACTTACTCATTTCAGTGATATTTAATAACACTTTAAAAAGCAACAATTTTTGGAATTTTGTTCCAATGCTAGCTTTTCTCCTGTGGCAGGTGACTCAAAGACAACAGTTATTGTTAAGTACATCGTAGATATGCAGTGGTTTCATTGTTCCAATAAAGTTGTTAATTAGTATGATGGGTTCTTTAATTATATTTTATATCTGAATCACCTTGATAGCCCTTCATGCCTTGGGACCAGATTATCTGAGGGACCGTCTCTTGCTGGTCACATCTACCCAACCAACTAGAGCAGGGAGGCAAGGAATGTTGCAGGTCCCATCCGCTAAGGAGATACATCTGGTGGGACCCAGAAGAAGGGCCTTCTCTGTGGTGGCTCCTTGCCTCTAGAACATCATCCCTCCAGAAATTAGACTGGCTCTCACTCTTTCAGAAGGCACTAAGATGTAGTTCTGCCAGCACTCCCCCAGAGTGGGACGGAGCCCATTAAATGGCTGGTATGAATGTGTATTGTCGCTGGGATGGGGGGTTATTTTATTATTTTCATCTTTTATTATTTTTATTTCGTTTATATTGTGTTTGTATATTCTGTAAACCGCCTTGAGTCGCCATGTGTGAGTAGGCAGCAATATAAATTTTCTAAATATAAATAAATAAATTCTCTATCCACTTTTATAGTTACTTGGGTTAGGAGCCTTTGGAGTCAAATTAATACTTGATGCTAGATCTTCCCAGTCTAGTGTATGAAGTACCTTAACACTTATTCTGTCTATTTGTCTGTCTGTCTGTCTGTCTTTGTTTCCCTTTGTCAGATGCCACAAAAGTTGCATAGACTTAGCCTAAAAACCATAATATACACCAGGTTATATATCTACATTTACGTTACATTGAGCTTATTCTTATTTTGCTTCAATTCTGATCAAATGACAGTGATTGTACTTCTCAGATACACCACAATTGCTAAGGAACTTCTGTTCTTTAAACTGTTAGCTGCCAAAACATGATTACAGACAACAGTATTCCCCAAAGCATTGGTTGCTATAAATCTGCAATTAAGCCACAGGCCAGGTTCTTTAAACACTGCAGAGCCACAATGACAAAATTGTAATTACTGTAATAGGACCATTACTAGCAAATGAATTACAGCCAATCAAGCTTTGCCTATTTTCTCTTTCTTTCACAACAGCCACAAAGGATGCAGTTATATTTGCTTTGTGGTATCAAGACAGGATCCCAAAAGAGGAGGCTGAAACTGACTTCTTTAATGAAAAGAGTTATCATATATCTGAAGAGCTTTTAGGTTCCTTGGAACTGATAATATGAAGCAAAATAGTATGATTCAACTGCCTTTATAATGAAATCCATAAAGCAAAGAAAGATTTTCAGCCACAGATTATGTAGAAAAATACATCTGTAACGAAACCAAGGATTCCACACCTCTAACTACAGATAGTCCTCAACTAAAGCCATTTGTTTAGTGATCATTTGAGGTTACAATGGCACTGAAAGGTGTTTTATGATCATTTTTCACACTTATGACTGCTGCAGCATGCCCATGGTCACATGGTCAAAATGTAAATGCTTGGCAACTGGCAAAGATCACGTGATCACCTTTTGCAGCCTTCTGCAAAATCAGTGGATCAGATGGATCAATAACCATGCTATTAACAACTACAATGATCTACTTAACAACTGCAATGATCTATTTAACAATTGTGGCAAGAATTACTATTCTTAAACTGAATTTAAAAAGAAAAAATCATTTGGAATGTTTAAATTCTGATACTAACAGTTGGTCATGCCATATTAAAATCAGTCAGATTCAAATATGTAAACCACTAGTATGAAAGTTGACACATTCTGTTGCCTCAAACAGCAGATGTATATTATATGCAACACCATCTCCAACAACTGTGGATTGCTACTTGTTTATTTGCTAGGTTTTGTTCGTTAGGTTTTTATTCTAGCTTTTCTAAGGGAACTTTCTAGAAGACTTAAAGAATTGTGAACATTGTCTGTTCTAGATAATCATTTCAAAAGCCAAATTGCACTTCTTGTTTAATTTATACTGTTTTCCCACCAATGAATTAACTAGTAATAATACAATGTTAACTTCTTTTAAATATCTTAAGAAAAATAAATAAAAAGTGCTCAAAGCACGAAGAACTCAAACCATTTTATAATTTAAAAGTTCAGCCACAGTAAATAGACTTTTGTACTATGCAAAAATAACAGAACTTTATCCTCAAAACACTGGAACAAGCCTCCAGAAATCCTTCATCTTCATCTTCACTTCTGTTTTTAAAAAGCCCTTCAACTGAATCTATTTCCTCAATATAATGTAAATACATTAATACAACCATGTAGGATTTTGTTTTTGTTTTCGTTTGCAACAGTACAGAAAGTTTGCTACTGCCTTCTAGTTATTTTTTCCAACTGCTCAATCTAGTCCAGGGGTGTCAAACTGCCGGCCTGCGGGCCAGATGCGTCACCAGGAAACCGCACCCACCCACTGCCGGCAATGGGAAAAAAGCTCCGATACATCATGCAACGTCACATAACGTCGCGAGTTTGACATGTCTGATCTAGTCCAACTTTCGCAACTAGGGTTCAACAAGAGATGAATAAGGGAAATGCAAGACAGTCTGATGTTTCTTTTTTAAAAAAAACTGTGCACTACAACAATGCTAATATTTACAGTGGTGAGATATTTTTTTTTGCATGCTGTGACTAAGTTGCAGGTCTGCTACTTCGCTATTGTTGTAAATGACATAGATCATGAATTGTGTAGGTTTTATAAAAGTGAATTGTTTTGCGAAGTGTTTATCTCTTTTGTGATAAAAGACCTGAGACCTGAAAAATATCCCAAGGGTTATTCCAGAATAAAAAGGTTGAAAAAGACTGGTCTAATTTATGGCACTAAGAAAGAATTTCCAAAACTCCATAGATACAGAATAGGGAAATATCTTG